CAAATACTTCGTGTCTCTGTGCTGTGGAGACTGTATCTGGACAGGCAGTGTGTCATAACGTGAAGGGAGAAGCAGGAATGGGAACCCTGAATAGAAGGGTTGTGCAACCAGGCCACTGCTGGCCAGTACAGGACGTCGGGTTCTTTGCTGTAGGGCTGCTGGGGCAGAGGGAGAGGTAGGAAAGGCCTACATGGATACCAGGGAGAGTCATGGGGGCCCGGGACCTGCTGGGCAATGACAGGCTTTGGAATTTTTGGAGGCAGCCATGGCTGAAGCACAGGCACCCTCAGGATGGTGCTCTGTGATGCCTGAGCTCAGCTGGGCCACCACCTGTGGCAGGAACCTGCCTACTGTGAGCCACCCAGGGCCCTAGCACCTGCCTCTGCCACTACCCCATCTGGCCTCAAACTCACAGGTACTCTCTCCACTGGGGAGAGGCAGTGGGTGGAGTTTGGTGGGGAACAGAGGCCGTGGAGCTTGGGCATGCAGGTCGGGGGCCGGGGGAGTATGGGACAGGTGCTCAGATAGCTCTGATTCTGCCCACTTAGGGCTCCTAAGAACCTCCCCATCCCTCCCCCATGCTCTAAGTGTAACTGACACACTTGTGGGCTGATGGACCCTGAGCTGCGGTCACATCCATGCTTCTCACCTTGGCTTGGCCTCTAGAATGTCATGTAACTTTGGGTAAGTCATCATCTTCGGCTGTTCGCTTCTGCAGCTGTAAACTGAGAAGCGTTTCCTCTATCCACGCCTTCGGTCTCTTCCTCTCCCTGGCACTTGCCCCAAACGCAGCTGGCTGGCAACCAGAGCAGAACGGCGGAGCGGGATGGGCCGCCACGGTATAAGCCTGAAAGGAAGAGGGAGGAAACCCTGTGGCCCACAACCTCCCGCACCCCCCAGAGGCAGCCGTCAAAACAGACTTCCAGTCATGGAATCCCTCCACCCTCACCACAGCCTGGTGGAGGTGTTGAAGGAAAGTTCTGGAAGTGGGGAAAGAACTTCCTTCTGACTCCTCCAGCCCCCAGCTGCTGCCTTGGGTCTGTTCTCCCTGCTCTTCTCTCCTTGGTCTCATTCTCCAGGGATGTCCCCCACTGACTTGTGGTTCAACTGCTGTTCACATACTGTTGACCAAGAAGTTCCGAACCCCCAAATCCAGTCCAGTCCCCTGTAGCCACACTGCTCACTGCCATGTGGCCCAGGGTCGGGCTGCAGGGTGGGATGGGAAGTGGAAGTCCCCTAAAACCTGGTGCACAGTGCCCCAGAGCTGTATAAGACCCTGTTGGGACCTCTCTTGGGAACATCAGGAGCCTCTAGCCAACTGCCTACAGGACATCTCGAAAGGCACCACAAACCCAACGTTTGGGCCCACGAGCATGTCAGCTCTTTCCTCCTTTCTAATAATGGCGCCATTCTCCCGGGGACTCAGCCCCCAAACCTCTGTCCCTCCTCACTCCTCTCAGCCTCTTCCTAAGTCCCATCGGTCCTGCCCCAAGCGGCCTGCCCTTCACCTTTTCTGCCCCTGGACCATTGGACCTGCTTTTAAACCATTAAACACACATAGAACATTTGTCATGCCTGGCTCTGTCTAATGCTTTACCAGTATGAACTCACAGCCTTCATGTTACAGATAAGGAAACAGAGGCACAAAGAAGCAAAGAGTCTGGCCAAGGGCCAGGATCAGAGCCCAGCAGCCTGCTCTAAAGTCTGAGCTATGAGCCTCTGTCACAAGAACTATCACAAAATCTCCACGCTCATCCTTGCACCTTCGATTGTGACCACAGGTGGCTCACAGGCTGGCCCTTCTTTCGTTCTTAAGAAAACACTGATGTGGCAAAAATTAGCACAGTAGTTTGGTCTTTCTGAAGCATGACTTTGAACATGTTACTCCTTGCTCAAAAAATCTTGAAATTCCCCCTACTGCCCCACCTTGTACAAACGGAATAAAGCCCATACCCAGGATAGGAATTCAAGGGTGTGACAACAAGTGTCGCTGGGAACCCCTTACTGTTCCTCTCAGGTGCCCCTTCCTCCAGCCGCCCTGTCACACTTGCTCCTGCCCCAGCACAGCAGGGAGTGGGCTCTGAATGGACCTTTCCTCCTCAGAGAAAGGCTGCGACGTCTGGCTCCTCTCTGAGCCACCAAAGGGCCTGTCACGGTGTGCCACACAGAGGTAGCCACGACACACATGATGAAAGAACATTAGTGAAACTGAGCTGCGGATGAGGGTGAAAATGAATTACTTCACCAAACAGCCAATACCATAAAAGCCAACAACAGGCACTATGTGAGACACTTTACAGACATTATCATTTCCTCGTATTCCACTCTACAATCTTTATGTCAGGACTATCGATATTCCTCATTTTACAAATGAGAAACTGAGGTTCTGAGAGGGGAACCAACTTGTCCAGAGCCATAGAGCTTTAGAGGAAGGAGGCTGGGATGGGGACCACGGCTGCTGGACTCCGAACGTGCTTTGCACCACCACACCCTGCTGCCTCCAGCGGCCGGAAGAGTGTCAGACAAATGCTCTAATATCTGGGTAACGTCCAAAGACCACGTAATGGGGACATATCAATGATAGCAAGGTAACAGAGTCGAACATCTGAGAAACATCATTGCATTGACAATGTCAAAATGTCTGAGGAATAGAAGGATTTTGTATAATGTTGTACTTTTGTCACCCAAACATTTATCAAGCACCTATTACTATTTTGACGCATGGGTGTAGAGCAATGACAAACACTCCCCCCCAAAAAACTTCTCTCATGTAGCTGAGGAGAAGGAGGGGGAGAGAAGGGAGAAACTACACAAAAAATATATGTCAGAGGTGACAATTGCCATAGAAACAAATTAAGCTGGGTTAAGGAAAAGGGACTGTCCAAGGCGCTGGTGGGGGTATGGTGGGGCTGTTACTACTTGTATAGGATCAGGAAGCCTTCCTAATAAGGTGCTATCTGAGAAGGGGCACGATGACAGTCAGGGAATGAGCCAAGCGGCCAACTCCAGGTGTCCAGGCAGAGCGCACAGCAAGTGCAAAGGCCCCGAACTAAGAGCATGCTCGGCCCAGTCAAGGAACAGCCAGGAGGTCCGTGTGACAGGAGCAGAAGGAACGGGGAGAGAAGGAGCAGGGGAGATACACAAACACAGGAAGACGCCGGGGCCTGCAGAGGGGCAGGCTCTGTGTAACACCACACACCTGGGTAGCAGTAACAGCTAGAAGGTAGCGAGTGTGCCCCCCACGCCTGGGACTCAGTCCTGCTCACACAAGCCCTGCTACAGACACGCTTCCTTAGCTTCTAATGGGGAGACAGATAAAGAAACCCCGCAGTGCTGTCAGGGTGAAACTACAGAAAAGAAGCATTGAACCCGGACTCGGGGCCAAGGAGGCTCCCTGGAGGAGACGGCACTTGATCTGTGAAACAGGAGAAGGAAAACATTCCAAAACACAGGTGCGGAGAGGGAGAGGGGGGGCAGGCTGGAGCCCGGGAGAGGCGGGGCAGGCTGGAGCCCGGGAGGGCCAGGCAGAGCTCGAGTAGCTGTGTACAGGGCTGGGGGCGGGGGGCCACAGGGGCAGCCTGTGGGAGCAGGGCTGGGAGAGGAAGAGAGGTGACAGGGATGGGGACAGGGTTATAGGGGCTGAGAAAGCCTCTGGACTGGGAGGCCTGGGCTTAAGTGTGTGTCGGGGAGAAGTTGGTGGTCCTGGAGTTGGGGACAAAGGGTGAGTGGAAGTGGAATAAGGCCTTCAGTAATTTACCTGCCCACCCAGGGCCCTGCTTTCTCACAGGGTATTAGGTGTGGTCTAGCTGGTTGCTGACAGGGAAGCAGAAAGTATGGGGCCACCCCGACCTGCACCAGGTCTTGGTTTCTCAGCCTGTCCTATGAGGTTCATAGTCTTCTCTCAGGCAGCTCTGTGAGTCTTCACGCTGAACCAGCCCAGGACACTCTGGTCGGGGGCACAACCTGTGTGACTGCTGCCACAGCCTGTGTGTCTTAGAGTCAGTCTAGGATGGACAGAGCTCCGCGGCCATCCTCCTTTCCGTTGGAGAGGCTGCAGCTCAGCCAAAGTCACACGGCCAGTGGGTGACTAAAATAGGACTCGAGCCCAGCTCTTGAGATTGCAAGCCCCACAGTAGCACTGCGGCAGCTCTGGAGAGCAGGGCCTGGTGACAGCCAAGTCCCAGGGACAGGCCTGGGAAACGGGTGGGGGAAGGCAGGGACGGGGTGGTGGATGCTGAGAGTGCAGGCAGGAAGGGAGCAGCACAGGGGGTGAGAGAGGCTGGACAGAACTAGAGGTGTCCCCAGACAGACCTGGTAAAAATGTCCCAACAAGGGTATAGAAAACGGAAGGTACATCTTCCCACACAGCCTCTCTGTGACAAGGCAGTGTGGGGCCTCTCATTCCCATTTCACAGGTGAGAAAACGGAGGCAAGGAGAGGTGCCCACTGCCCACCTGGCTGGCTCAAAGGCCCGTAGGAATTTAGAGCCCAGGGGCCCTGTTAGAAGCTGGGTAGGGTAGACGAGACGGCGTCGGAGACTTTTTCCAATCTACGTGGATGATGAAATAGAGGTGATGAGAGGGGCAATGGAGATGGAAGCACAAGTCAGGGCTGCATCCAAAGAGGGAGGGAAAAGAGGCAGAGGCACGGATCGAGCCTGTCAGTGGCAGAGGCGGTGGAGAGACGAGGCCCTGACACCCGGCTCCAGTTACGGGCAGGCGGCATCCGCGGGCCCCGGTGTCAGGGAGTCCCCGCGCCTCCTCCCGCCCTGAGTGGACCCGTCCACTGGGGCTGCTCCCCAGAGCGCGCGCTGGTCCCACGGGTGCGGGCAGAGGGCAGAGGCGGCTGGGGGAGGGGGCGGTGCACTGCCTCCTCCCCTCGGCTGGGCTCGCGAATCCGCAGGGGCCTCCTCTGCGGCCTCCCGGTCCGCACCAACCCCCCTCCCCTCTCCCCGCCGCGTCCCCTCCTCTCCCCGCGCCTGGATGGTACGTTCCGGTCCGCCTGGCCCGGCTGCGGTGGATGTTGCTAGAACCCACGCGGAGGAAGGAAGAGACGCAGGCAGGCTGCGGTGACCCAAGCGTCTGCTCCTGCCTCAGGGACCCCTTCCCCGAGAGACGGCACCATGACCCAGGGCAAGGTACCGGCATCTCCCCCGCCTGCACCATCCTCCATCCTCGGGCTTCCCGGCTCCCCGCCATCCTAAGCAGGCTCTCTGGACCACTATACGCATCCTCCCCTGGCTATTGTGGAAGGGTCCTCTGTGGTCCTTGCTGAAGTCAGAGGACCAAAAGGTCCATTTCAAGGGATGGGTCAGGGCCTCTTCCTGCCCACCAGGCTCACCTCTCCTCCCGTCCCCCTCTTCCACCTTGCTTTGACATCACAGAACCCTGCACAGACACCCGGCCCCCCTTCAGGAGTCAGCCTGGGTGTCCGTGTGTGTACGTGTGTACGTGTGTGTGTTCACCCTATCCAGCCTCCCCTTCTGGTCCAATCCCAACCTAGACATTAGCTCATCTTTCGTGCTCGCCACAGAGACACCCCCCCAACCCAACTCTCTCTTATTATTCCACATCTGGATACATCCCGATACATCCGCTATGGTTAGGGGGTTACTGTGGCAACCCTGCAAAAAGATGCTCTAATTTTTGTTTTGGTTTTGGCAGGGCATGGGACTCGAAGGGATCAGATAAAATGGATTTTTTTTTTCCCCTCCCAGTTCTAGGCCTAAAATGTAGGGGAAAGGCTGGGGCAAAGACTTGGCCGGCCCATTAGGGTTATGTAACTCAACAGCCTGTGGAATTATACAACCACCAGGGCCTGGGGCAAAGGAGGAGGATTCTCTGGCCTTCCATTTGGAGGTGCTGCTAAGGATTGAGCTGAGAAAACAGATGGAGACCTCCCTACACACCCCCTCTTTTTTCTGAGATGAGCCTCAGAGCCAATGGCAGCCTACCCTGGGCTCTCAGACCCTCCTCTCCCTGTTTTTAAGCTCATCAGGCCTCCAAATGATGTCATTGGGTGATGCCACCCCTGCCACTGGGTAGACCTCACTCGGGAATGCCGGATGTGTGTATGTGTATGGGGGGCAAGGCCAGGAGCCCCGGGGCGGAGAGGGCCAGCTTGGCTGAAGTTGGAGGTGACCCTCCTTTTCCCAGACACGGGCCCTGGGTCTGGGCGCAGAGGTCCCTGGTTCTGGAGGGCTGCAGTGGGTTTTCCTGGGCATGACCCTTCTGGTCTGGCTGATAGTGGAGGTTGGGGAGTGGGGGGAACAGGGGAACCAGGGCTCCAGTCCCACGGGCCTGAGGAGGCCTGTGGGGTACGCACCATGGTGAAGATGAGAGCTCCCCCCTCCTTGTCCTCCCCCTCCACTCTCCACCCCCCACCAAGCGCCTTGCTGACCTTGCTTCCTGTCCTGGGCTGAATGTATTACTCTTGCCCCCTCTGTCACTCACTCCCAACTTACTCTCAGGCTTTCCAGTGGTGGAACAGACCCTTCCAGTCCAGGAGTCCTCAGGGCTGAATGGGAGCAGAGGTCTGGCGCTTGCCCGGCTCTGGGCTGCCTCAGCTAGACGCGCCCTGCCAAGAAGGGCTCTGCAGCCTTCCTCAGTAGCCCTTCAGGCTTACTTAACACATTCTTTTTGGAAGCAGACCTAAAATCCCACTTTCTGAGCTCCAGGCCTTTTGTTGCGGTTTCAGTTTTCATACCACCCCTCCACCCCGAGCTGCCCTTCTCTGGCGGTGCCACCCAGACCTTCTCGGTTCATATCCTCTCTCCAAAGCTACATGTGTACACTGTGGGGCAGGTGACGCATCTGAGTGTCCATGGACTTGAGTTTTCAACCTGCCACAGGCCCATTTCCCTCTGGGCCTCAGTTACCTCATCTGTAGAGTGAAAGGGGCTGAATTAGATGCCCGTTTGGAGGAGAGGCTGAGATTCTAATAGAACAAGGCTAGAACAGGACCCTTGGCCGGGGCTCCTTGTCCTTCCTCCACCCTGCAGTCCCCGTTCCTCTCCCTCTGTTCTCCCTCCCCGCCCACCGCCACCCCGGCCTTCCATGTCCCTGCTCTCATCCCCGCGCTCCTTGGTCACCTCCAGCCCAGCAGGAGGAGGCCGGCGCCAGCGGATGGGGCTACCTGGGCTCTGCAGCCCAGTGGGCCACGGGTGGCTCTGTGACCTTGGAGGAGGCATTCTTCTCTCTGATCCCCATTTTAAAACAGAGGTGAAAATACAATTAGCAAGGTAGCAAGCAGGGAATTTAAATGAGAGAGCCTTACATTCAATAATACTTTTGAAGGCTCGCTGTGTGCCAGGCCCCTGCTTGGACCCCAGAGAAACAGTGGACCCATACAAACCCAGTCCTAGCTCTGGGAACAGCGACTGCTCCTGGGGGCGCTCCTGGGAACGTTCTCCTGTCCCAGCTCTTACCCCAGCTCCGGGGTGTGCCTGGCCAGCGCTGATGCCCCTGGGGCTCAGCGCTCCCATCTGTAAAACAGGGACATCCCCCCCTCACCGTTATTGGGGTATAAGAGACAAATAGAAATGGACTATATTGAAGGCATAAAATGTGATGTTTTATTATACACACATGTTGTAAAATGATCGCCACAGTCAAGCTGTTTAACATATCCATCACCTCACATAGCTCCCTCTTTTTTTGTGCCAGGAACACTTAGATCCACCCTCTCAGAGGATTTTACGTACACCGTGCAGTATTGTTAACTACAGTCACCATGGGTAGACCCCCAGAACTTTTTCATCTTGCATAATTGAAACTTTGTACCCTTTGACCAACATCTCCTCATTTCCCAAATCTTCCAACCCCTGGCAACCACTGTTCTACTGTGTGCTCTGTGAGTTTGACTTTTTTAGGAGTCTACACAGTGAGATCATGCAGTTTTTACCTTTCTGCATCTGGCTTATTTCACTTGGCATAATGTCCTCTAGGTTCATCAATGTTGTCATATATGGGAGGATTTCCTTTTTTTAGGGCTGAATAATATTCCATTGTATACATATACCACAAAAATAGGGAGATTCTTGTCTGTACCCCGACCCTTCCTAGTTCAGGTGACAAAGCACCCATAAAATTTCCGAAACTGAAGGGAAGACTTAGTGAAGAGGGCTTGGAAGGCACCCTTTCCCTGGTAACCGTCTCTCTCTGCCTCCACTCCACAGCTCTCTGTGGCTAACAAGGCCCCCAGCAGCGAGGGGCAGCAGCAGGCAAATGGCGAGAAGAAGGAGGCTCCAGCAGTGCCCTCGGCCCCGCCCTCGTACGAAGAGGCCACCTCTGGGGAGGGGCTGAAGGCAGGGGCCTTCCCCTCGGCCCCTCCAGCTGTGCCTCTCCACCCCAGCTGGGCCTATGTGGACCCTAGTAAGTCTCTCAGCTCCCGGAGGCTGGAGTGTCAGGGGGAGCGGTGGGCTCACATGGAAAACCCGGTAGGAGGAAATAGCCCAGAAAGAGATGCACTGCATGGCCGTTGTAAGATGCTCTGTTGTCAAAACTGGGGATTTGGAGGACTGTTCTGGGGGTAGGTCCAGGAGTGCTCCACGAAAAGGGAGACGTACAGTGTCTGCAGTCAGAGTGCTCCTGGGTAGGGACAAGGAGATTTTTTCAATTTGCCATGCTAGGGCAGAGGGGACCGATGCGGGGGCAAAAGGGGGCTAGTCTAGCAGGAAGGCGCAGAATGATGCTGCCGCAGGCCATGGCCTTGGCTGCGGGTGGCGCCCTGTGAGTTGGGGTGCAGCTTGTGTGCTTGCTAGCTGGTATGAAACCTTAGTGGGGACACATCACCATGGAGACCAGTGTTGGGGACCAGAGGCCTGAGGATCCATCTCACCCATCACTCTCCTGTCTCTCTTCCCTTCTCCAGGCCACTGCTGGGGGCACGGTGTGGGAAGGTGTGTGGGCGCCAGCCTCAGTGTCCCTCACAACCAGGCATAACTAATTCACAGGTGGACTCCCCCAGGCTCATGCCAGTACCTGGCAGACCAAGCATTGTAGCCGGTGGGAGCCCCTGCGTTAAGTTGAGCAGCTGTGGGAGCTTTGCCTCAGGGCTGGGAACATAGAGCTCTGCATGAGCTGTAAGGAAGAGCCCCCTCTCAAATCTTCCTCAGCCCCTTCAGGCTCCTCAGCAGCTCCTCAGTCCTCCTCCTTCACCTTGTCAACCCCCCGCCCCCAGCAGAATTCTGGAAGGGATCCCAGGGACAATGCTTCGGACAGCCTCTCCTTACAATGAGCGGTCACCAGGGTCCGCACTGCTCGCCACAGAGCCCCACACCTAAGCAGAGCTACTTCGCCACGACCAACTGGAAGGCCGGTGAAGGTCTGGTGTTTGTGGGAGCCCTTCTCACTGCCTCAGATACCCACAGGACTGCCTTCTCTCTTTTTCTCTCCCTCTCCATGGCCTGGCTATTCGGGCCTTGGTCGGGGGATGCAGAGAGACCATGAAGGAGCAGTAAAGGATAAGACAGTGAGGGTCGCCAGACCCCAGGTTTGCAATAGGTCTACCTCTCTCCCCCTTCCTCATTTCCCATATCTGGTTGCTAGGACTGGCTGCCTTTAAAGGCTTTTTCCAAGGAACTGTCAGGACAGGAAAGTAGGCCATTGCAGTCAACATGTGACAAACATTTGCTAAATGTGTACCAAGCACTGTGTCTGACACTGAACTAATTTCTGGGGATGCATCGATTTTCCCTCACAGAGCTGACTGCATAGAGAAGGAAAAAGACAACTACCATACGGTGAATCAGAGGCAGTGATAGAAGCCTAGGCAACTCACCTAGACTGCCTGACAATCAGGGAAGACTTCCTGGAGGAAGGGTCATCTGCTTTGAGTCCTGAAGGATAGCATGGGTTATCCTGGTAAAGAGGCAGACAAATGAGTTTTCAAGGCTGAAAGAATGGAATGCATAGAGGCCCAGGAGCAAGAGAACACATGGCTGAAAAAATAGTCAGGTGAAGAAAAGTAGGAGGAAATAACGTGCAGTGGGGCTGGAGGGCTCATGGGAGGCTGTGGAGGCTTTGTTAAGGAACTTGAACTGGAGTAAAAAGCAGTGGGGAGCCATCGGAGAGCTTGAAGCAGAACAGTGCCATGGTCAGCTTTGAAAAACCAAGACTGAGGCTATTACTGTGGACAGAAAGAACCTGGAGCACCGATGGAGACACAGAAGGAGAACAGGGTGGACACACGTGAGGCCTCAGCAATGGCCTAGACGAGGGGTGCAAGGGAGAGGGTGGCGGTGTCCCCATCAGGCACAGAGAGGCATGGGCTTTCACTTTTATCTCATTTCCTCCTCATGAGGTGGGTATCACCCACCCGTTTCACAGACGGGACTTGGAGAAGGCTGGTGATGTGCTCAGGGTCGCACAGCTAGTCAGTCCTAGAGGAGGGGCCGCACATCGGTCTGTGTGACTGTGGAGCCCGAGGTCTTCTGAAAGCCCGAGCTCTGGGACCAGCCCACAAAACTTCCCTCCCGCCCACACCCCTCTGCCTGCCTTGTCCTGGCCCTCTTCCCCTGCCAGTCTTCCCTCAGCCCTGGGTCCCAGCCGTGGCAGCGGCAGGTTCTCCCGTCGGACTAGTACCCAGTTCCCACCCCAAGGGCTTCAGACCAAGCTGGGTTCAGGGCCTTTGACCCAGGGATGTGCCAGGAAAGTCCTGGGATTATATCTGTCCCTCTGGTTCTTTGCCACGAGGGAGTCCGAATGTCCAGGGAGGCGATGGGGGACACCAGAGGGAAGGGTCACATTTGTTTGGCAGAGTTTAGTGCCCAGGGAGCCCCAGCCAGGGTGGCGGGAAGGGGAAAGGATGACAGTTCATTCTCAGGACTCAGGACAGGAAAGATGAGAAGCAACTGGGGAGAGAGAGCAGGAGGGGGAGGGGGAGGTTTGAGAATGGGGCTGGAGAGAAAGGCTTCGGCTGGTCCAGAGAGCCAGCTGGACAAAGGCGGCCGTTGCGGGCAGTGTTTCTGTGCGCTGGGGCCCTCATGGCCCTCCCCTGCCCACGCAGGCAGCAGCTCCAGCTATGACAGCGGTTTCCCCACCGGAGACCATGAGCTCTTCACAACCTTCAGTTGGGATGACCAGAAAGTTCGCCGAGTCTTCATCCGAAAGGTAATTGCCCCTCCCCTGCTCCCCAGAACTGGGGGGCTGGGTGCGGGGGACCCTTTGGAAAGCCCTGGCCCAGCCGTGGCTCTGGCCACAATCTCCCCTTCTCTTGTGATGCCCGCTGACGGCTCCTGTTGGGAAGTGCTTCCTTAGGTTTCACGCCCCCCCCCCCGCCCCCCGCCCCGCTGCCTGCTCCTCCTAAGCACATTGTCTCTTCTCTCCAGATACTGGGGGTAGGGAGGCCCTTAGCCTGTGGATGTGGGCCCTGGAACGTCTTAACTCCCCTTTTACTTTGTCCTGGATCCCTTCCAGTGACCCTCAAGAAGGAGGGTGGAGGGACAGTAGATTGAGTCACAGGGAAGCCGGGGCCTCTCTGAGCTTCTCGGGGACTTGAGCCTCCCGGGCTTCAAACAAGGTTCCCCGGGCTGAGCATAAGCCCCTCCCGTCCCCAGGTCTATACTATCCTGCTGATCCAGCTGCTGGTGACCTTGGGGATCGTGGCTCTCTTTACCTTCTGGTGAGTTGGCATTGCAGACCAGCACTTTTGGGGAGAGTGGCTGTGACCAGGCCTGGGACGTGGGACCCAGAGCCAGATTTCTCTTGGAATGTTTGCCTGGAGAGACTTGTGTGGGCAGTGGAGCTCCTCGTACTAGGGGCAGCCTTAGCGAGTGCACACATAGGAGCCATCCCTCCAGTGTGGGGTGGGCCTGGTGCCTTCTGGGTCCCTCTCAGATCCTCAGGCTCCACCTCCAGGCACTTCTGAGCCCAGCCTGGGACTGTGGCTGGGGCTTCCCAAGTTACCAGGGGTGCACGCCTCCTTTCTTTCTCTAAAGCCCTGTGAACTGGGGGGAGGGGGCAGATGCCAATTGGAACTAGAATAGAGACAGAGGGTAAATTCTTGTTCTTTCTCCTCCCTTCTCTGCAGTGACCCCGTGAAGGACTATGTCCAGGCTAACCCAGGCTGGTACTGGGCATCCTAGTGAGTAACCCCGGGCCCCCAGGCCCCTCCCAGAGAACCGCCCAGGGACACATGGTGGGAAATCTCTGTTGGCAGCGTACAAGCCCGTGGCCTCTCCCCACTCCAGTAGGAACCATTCTCACAAGTGCGAGGCCAGAAGGGCCCCTCTGGGGTGTTTAGGTCTTAAGGGGAGGGAAGGAGGCAGATGTAGGTTCTAGTACCTGCACTAGGAGGGAAGGGTAGGGCTGGGGCCATGGCTGGGGAGACTCAGACCTTGCCCTGAAGGGAAGGGAGAGAGGACACCTTGGTCCACACTAATAATAATGTTGCTATTCTTATTAACGTTGTTATTAATGCTTACCAATAGAATTATTAACTATAATTGCTACTACTTATAGAATGCCTAATGAGGGCTGGGCATTGTTCTGTGTGCTTGATATATGGTATTGAAATCATTCCTCAAATCTACGTGGTATGATTCTCTCAGAAAACTAAGGCCCAGATACGTTGAGTAATCTGTCCACGGTCACACAACTGGTGGTGGAGCTGGGATTCAAACCCAGAATTCAGGGTGAGGCTTGTGTTCTTAATCCCTCTGCCTGGAAGACTCCCTTCCTCCCGAGCCACTCAGCTCCTGGTTGTTCTATACTCTTCAAGGAATGTGGCAGGTGACTTGAGAGAAGTTCAACAGTGTAAGTGATTCTGACCCTCCCATCTGGGCAGTGCAGCGGTCATTCTGGACAGTTCTGCTCTTGGCGGACTCTCCAGCACCTGCCAAACCCAGCTCTGTGCTGGGGCTGCTGGGGAGGAGCCGTCCGTGGGGGAAGGCAGTGGGCGGCACGAGGCAGCCAGTGAGAAAGTGGCACTCGGAGGAGGGGACGAGAGAAGGTGTGAGCCTGGTACACTGAGCCCTCGGACCATGTCAGGGGTCACCTCAAAGGATGGAGACTGGAGTGGCTTAAGCAACAATGTGGCAGTGGGACTGCTTTGATGAATTAGGGACTAGATTGTCCAAGGACTAGAAGGCTCCCTGTAGGGGAATCCAGGATATCTCAGAGAACAGTGGGGACTGAGGCGGTAGAAGCTCCAAGAAGCCTGCCCCGTAGGGCTGGCCCAGGCCTGGTCCAGAAAGGGATCAGATGGGGATGTGGGCTCAGCTCATAGTCCCCTGGGCCACCTCGAATCCAGCACAGCCCCAGAGTGAGCTTTGAGTTTATGCAAGCCATGCAAAGGCTGATGGGAAGGAGACTCCTGCTGGCCTCTGGGGCCTCTCAGAGGAGTGGGGGAGTGAAGGGAAGTCTCAGTCAAGCTGGGGGTCCCAGGGGAGGAGGCAATCCCCCCAAAGCCTTCCTTAGGGCACAGGAGGGAGGGCCTGTCTGCAGACCAGGCAGGAGGCATGCGTCTTGGGGAGCTGGGAGGCACTGTGTGGTAAAGCTAATGAGGCCCAAGGGACTGCCACCCTGGCCAGCCTGCGCAGCAGGTTGGCATGGCTCCCAGTACGTCAGTGCGGCCCGGCAGCCTCAGGTGTCCTGAGAACTCGGGGATGGAGACCCCAGGCCTTTTGCCAGACCTTCTGTAGGAGGGTCTGCGAGACACCACGTCCTGAGCAGATGGTAGCAGGGGGTCAGCCCAGACATGAGCAGGCTCGGAAGTTGGGGCAGAGTCCACCCCACTGAGGGCAGGCATCAGAATCTGGCCTCTGAATGGCAAGCTTTGTCAATGCTCCTCCTCAGCACATCGAGGCAGAAAACAGAGATGCTGTCCCTGGCTCAGGGGTGGGAGGAGGGCAGAGCAATAGGAAGTGGGCATGGACCATGTGCTGTTTATGGGATGTCACAAAGCCTTCAAGATACTCAAGAATTCCACCACCCTTTTTACCAGGAAAGCAGCCTGTGGCTCTGCCCTGCCCTACCTGCTCCTCACCCCTCAATACCGTTCGCCCTGCACCCTGAATTGGCCTCCTGGTCTGAAGCCCAGCAGTATCATCCCCTCCAACATCCTAAGCCCTTAATAGCAATGAGAGAGTAAAACAGCTCTTTTTTTTATACGAGACGCTGTTCTATTTTTCATTTGATCCTTACATTAACCCTACCAAGGCAGATAGTATTATTATCCGCATTTTACAGGTAAGGAAATTGAGGCTCAGAGAAAAGTTACTGCTTCCAAAGTAGCATAACCACATTTTTCTGATTGCAAAGCGCATGCACTTCTCCTCAGTGCTCTATGCCACCCTCGTGGCTCAGGGCTGGTCCCAGAGCAGGACACGGGAGGGGAGGAGACTGGTTTTAGATGCTGTGGCCACCGCACCACCCAGCACTCCCTACCCCCGTACCCCGCCCCGGCGAGCTTCACTCCTCTGTCCTGACACTCTGTAAACAGACGGTGGCTCCAGTCCAAGCCCTGGGCCCAGGCTCTGACACACAAGTCAGCTTCTCTCTCCCTTCTGCTGGGACTCATTTCCTGCCCCCTGGGATGGCAGCCTTCTAGCACTGCGCTGCCCCCACCCCAGCCACAGCTTTCCCGAGGCCCCAGTCTTCTCCCTCAGTGAGCTCCCGCCTTATTGTCTGATTGCTCCCTCGGAGCCATGGCAGCAGGAACTGCGGGCCTCCCCACAGTAGGAAAAAGTAAGGGCTGTGGGGTAGGGGTGGGGGAACCAGGTGGAGGAGGGAAAGGTGGTGGGGGAGGCTTGCTCACAGCTGCTCCAGGAAGCTGTCAGTCTTACTGCAGTAATAACAACTCTCAGCCTCAAGTCTTTACTCGTGCCAGGCCCCGTGCTAAATGCTTGATGTGCATTCTTTCATTTCAATCCTTCCCGCAGCCCAGTGAGTTGATACTAATGTTCTTGTTTCCAAAGGAAGAAATTGGGGCTTTGCAATTAAGTAACTTGTTCAAGGTCACAAGATAGTAGTGGCAGAGCCGGCATGTGAATGTTGAATGTCAGGCTCCGGGCCCCGCCATACCCCCAGGTCAGTCTCTTTCCCCTTCTTCCTGGCCACGTGTCTTGAGGGATGAGGAGCGATGGACCAGAGGGAAAAGGAGACTGGACCCTTGGCCTCAGGAACCTTCCCTTCTGGTCAGGGGAACAGGACCCACACCCAGGACACACAGAGAGGAGGCATTATTACTGTTGTTGAAGCAACTGACTAATGACTGCAGTGAGTCCAAAAGATAGCAACACTGGGGTGTTTCTCAACTAGGGCAGGAGATTCTACGTCTCTCGCAGAACAGGATGTTCAGCAGCCCTGGCCCTGGCGCTAAGAACCCCTGTCACTGTGACAACGGTGCCACATCATGCGGGAACCACTGAAGAACGGGAGAGGGTGAAGGTGGAGGGCCCCGCGCACCAAGGCCAATAAGGCTTGTCTCAGCCCCACATTTCCTGTCCTTCTGCATTTCCCTAGAAACACTGAAAGATCACCAACCAGTGCCAGGCCCTGGGATACAAAATGAGGAGGTCGCAGACTGGTGCCCCCAGGGGCTATGCCTGGGAGCCCGATGAGCAGGCCCGCGGGATGGGGGAGTGCAGGCTTCGGTCCAAGTATACCCGTGGTGCCAAGGAAGCCCCGCCGACCCAGACCTCAGACGTCCTTGCCAGTCGGTCCCTTCTGGAGGGACTAGAGTGGGAGGTGCAGAGGGTGATGAGAGGGGAGCGGGGAGGGCTGGAGTGTGGGGAGGGATGGGCTGGAGAGGTGGGCGGGGGTGGATCATGCAGGGCATTGCCAGGTCTTTGGAAATTTTAAACAGGGGAGTCTTGTGGTTGGGTCTGCCAGTAGCTTGCAGGGTGGAAGCCAGGGCTGGAGGCAGGAGGACCAGAGGGAGAGAGGGAGCCCACCAAAAGGGGCGGTGGTGGGAATGGAGAGAAGGGGACAGGTTTGAGAGCTGCCTGGGTAGGAGGATGAACAGGTCCAGGTGATTAACCAGGCACGGCAGTGAGAGTCAAGGATGACGAGGAGGCCTCTGGCTGGGTAACGTGGAGGGTACCTGTCTCCCACAGTAGGGCCGCGGGAGAAGAGCAGGGGAGAGGGTAAGTTCGGGTCTAACCTGTCAAGTTTGGCGCATTCCTGAATAGCCATGTCTGCCCAGTGAGCAGATGGATATTCAGGTGCTCAGTTAAGAAGGAAAGCCTAGATCAGAAATATAGGTGTGTGTCATGAGCATCTGCCTAATAAAGGAAGTCCCGTGAATGAGTGAGCCCCCCAGGAAGAGCATGAAGGGAGACTCACCCGCAAGACCCTATGCATGGAAGGAAGGAGGCATATTTAGAGATACTCTGAAGGAGACTGAGGAGTGGCCAGGAAGGTAGGAGGGGAACAAGTGTCATTGTGGAGCCAGGGAAACAACAAAGAGAGCACATGTTGTGGAAGAGTCAGGTAAGATATAGACTGGCAAGTGCCAGCTGGACTCAACAAGGTCACACTAACGTGGCAAAGCCAGGTCTCATTGAGTGAAGCTGGGGTCGGGTTTGTTGGGTTGGGGAGTGATTGGAAGATGGAGAAGAAGACAGTGAGTGGAGGTAACTTTTTCAAGAAGCTTAGCTGTGGGTTGGTTAAGGTGGAAGTAGCAAGAACCAAGGAAGATGTTGATTAAAGATGGAAGACAGCTGAGGAGGTTTGCGTGCGAGGCGAGATAGCAGTAGAAAGGTTTAGGTAATAGAGACGGCAGGGCGGTCGAGGGTGTGGGGCCCAGAGCCCAGGCTGGGGCGATTGCCCCGGGATGGGAGGGGGGCAGGAGGAAGGGCACGGATGCACGAGGATGGTGGTAGATGGCAGGCAGGGAGCCCCGGGAGCCCCAGCTCATCTCAGATCTTTCTGGGACGCATCAGGCCAGACCATGCAGGAGAGTGAGGGAGACCTGGAGGTCTGGGGATGGCGAAGGACGATTGGAATCGCTGCTGTGGGGGACGAGCGAGAGAACCGAGGAGGGAGATAGGGAAGGATGGTGGGCGCCACGTAGACAGCCCTCTTGGTGCTGAAGACCACGTGTTGGTGGTGGCCCCGATCTAGGGCATGCCCTACCCTTGGGTCCTCAGCCCTCATCTCCTGCCCCCCAGACTGGCCTCCACCTTCACTGGTCTCCAAGAAATCCTCAATTCTCAATCCCTATCTCTGGGTTGTGCCTGAGCTCCCCGCCAGTCTCCCACTGGACATAGCCACCTGTTCCAGAAATCCACGCCACGGGTACTGCCTGTTCGTGCCAGGCACTAGCAGGACAGCCGAGGCTCCTGCCCTCGCCCCTGCCCCTACTAGTTGGGTAGACCGCCAGCAAAGTACCTGACGAGGTCATTACAGGCAGCGCCAGGGCTGGGGAGGGCCTGAAGGAGGCAGTGTGGGGCTGGGACGCTGGAGCCAGAGTGCCTGGGTTCTAATCCTGCCTTTGCCACATGGTAGCTGCATGAGCTTGGGTAAGTCACCTGGCCTCACTGTACCTCAGCTGTTAAGTGAAAGGCATGGTTCATCAAGAAGATATGAGGATTACGGTAGCTAATATTCACATAACACTTAGCATTCTGCCTGGCACACGGAAAACAGTGTATAGGAGCTTTTCTTTTGAAATAATAAGACAGTGTCCAGGGAGGCCACTTTGGATTGATTGAGTGGGTAGTCAGCTGGCCCATGGCACCCAAATATTTCTAGAAGCAGGCTTATCCTCTTCCCCTTCTCCTCTTTTAGAATTGGACCGCCGCCCTGCCCATCGTTAAGTTCTGGGATGACTGTAGCCTTACCGCTGTCCCCATCACTTACCAGGTGCCCTGTGGGGGTAGAGAGTGGGATGAGCGGGGACTGGCGGACTCACCATTGACCTGTCTTTCACAGCGCTGTATTCTTTGCGACCTACCTGACCCTGGCCTGCTGTTCTGGACCCAGGTAGGACGATGGCTTGAGGAACAACTTGTGGGAACATGAATCAGATTTTGAACACGCTGGCCCCAGTGCCGCCTACCACCAGTGTGCTGTGCACCTCTAAGAGGGCCCATCCCTCTCTGGGCCCCATCATGCAGGCCAGCCCCTTCTTCCCTTACTTAATACCTCTGAGGTGGGAGGAGGCTGTAGCCGAAGGAAGAGCCTCCAAGAAGAGGGGATGGGGTTGGGCAGAGATGCCCTCCCTGCAGGGGTGACCCAGCCTGCGGCTGCTGGCACCCCCGTGCTCCTCTGAACTTAGTGGCTTGCCTTTCAGGAGGCACTTCCCCTGGAACCTGATTCTCCTGACCATCTTTGTAAGTGACTGGGGGTGGCTGGGGAGAGAGGCAGAGTCGGGGGGAGAGGGAGGAGGCGGGGAGGCTGGGATTCAAGGGCCAGGAAGTCCAGGTTGGGGATGTCTAATGTGGAGTCACTGGGGCAGAGGGATATTTTCACCCCGCTTCTTCCCCAAAGACATTCCACCTTCTTTCCAAGTGGGCTTAGTCTGCCTGTTCTTCCATCCATCCACTCTCTCTCTATTGTGATTTTGTCTTGAAGAGGTTTGCATGGGGGATCCTAGAGTTATGGATAATGACGTGCAGGAGGCCTTGGAAAGGGGAGCGGAGCAGGGCTCTGCAGATGGGAGAAAGGCACAGCCGGCACGCCGGCCAGGACACTGCTTCGCCAGGCCTGAGTCCTAGAAGTAAATATGTGGGGGTGAAGCGGGCTTAGAGCTGAGGGGTCTGCGCAGGGGTGAGGACCCAGGCTGGAGCTGGAAGGTGTCTAGGCCCTGAAGCCTGAGTCCTGGAGCATTTCTGCTTTTCCTTTCAGACCCTGTCCATGGCCTACCTCACTGGGATGTTGTCCAGGTAAAGGGCACAGGTGGGGGGGAGGGGCCGTAGGCTAGGCTTAGAGCCAGGGACTCACCACATGCTGGGGGGAGCTGCCCACAAACTCCATCCTCCTGAGAGCATCTGAATGTGGGGGTGGATTTCAGCAGGCAGGAGACGTCGGCCTCGAGCCCTCTCCCCAAACACTCAGCCGTACCATGCCTCTGGGACCTGGCTACGTCGTGTTCGGGGGAGATAGAGAGACCAAGGTGACTCCTGTCAGGCTGTAGCTTAAAGACCCAAGACGTCTGATCACAGAAGTTCCCACCTCCGGGCAGCAGCACAAACCCCTCTCCACCCCCACTCCCACTCCCTAAGATCCTTCGAACAGGATTTCAAGTCTAACGTGTTGGAGACAGCAGGGCCCAGGAGAAAGGCCCGGGAGGCAGGGAGGTTCCTGGGAAAAGGGGAGGCGAGGGTGGGGGCAAGAGTCCAGGGGACCAGGCCTGGAAGCCCTGCTGGAGACTGAGCCTGGCCTACGGTCCCGCAGCTACTACAACACCACCTCCGTGCTGCTGTGCCTGGGCATCACGGCCCTCGTCTGTCTCTCCGTCACTGTCTTCAGCTTCCAGACCAAGGTCAGCGCTGGGCTCGTGGGCAGAGAGATGGGGTGGGGGGCTCCAAGCATAGGGTCCCCAGCTGGTGAGAGATTAAGGGGTGAGCTGGATCTGGGGAGTCCACCGGACGAGGTGTGGGGAAGGAACGCTGGGCCCTGGGGGCGGGTCCTGGGCCGAGGCCTGCTGTGAGGGCCTCAGCCAGCTGCTGACACCTGTCCCCTCCTTGCAGTTTGACTTCACCTCCTGCCAGGGTGCGCTCTTTGTACTGCTCATGACTCTCTTCTTCAGTGGACTCATCTTGGCCATCCTCCTGCCCTTTCAATATGTGAGTCTTGGGGACTCCTGGCGGGCCCCATGGGGAGGGCGGCGGGCCTGCTGACCAAAGGGTGCTGCTTCCTCCCGCGCCCTCCAGGGAAGGCCCGGAGCCAAAGGCTCGCAGCCTGCCACCCTGTCCGGCCCCTCCTGGCACCTGCCCTGGGCCTGCTGGCAGTGTAAGCAAACCAACAAGGAGGCCTTTCTCAGCAGGCCTGGGCACCTGCCTGCTCCATGAGCCACATCCGGCTTCACCTTTCCCATCCTGCCTCGGAGCGGGGGCGGGGGGGGGGAGGTGAGGCTGGAGGCGACTGTGCCACGGAGCATTTAAACAGCTGCAGGGGAGGGAGCTCTAGAGCTCCCCCCGTGCCACCAGACCCAGAGGAGCCGTGAGGAAGGGCCTCCTGGGGCCCTTGGGGGGGTCAGCCGAGTCCAGAGGGGCAGACCCTGGGCAGCCAGGCGGGGGGCCAGGCAGTGGGCTGAGCCTATTCACCCCCACCCCACTGGAGCATCCATGGTGCCGGCCAAATTCCAGCTCTTTCACAGTGCCCAGCCCGCCCTGGGAAACCCAGCTAGGACTTCCCTGGGCTCAGTGACCCATTTTAGGTACTAAGGCCCCTGCAAATGGAAAAGGGGGCAGACTGAGGGCTTCACAAGAGGAGTCTGAGATTCCAATCCTGAGAACCCAAGAGACCAAGCTAAAGATTATTGGACCCCTGCTAGAGGCTCTGTGCTTATACCTGCCTCTGCTCCTCTCAGTACTTGGCCCCCGGCCCCCTCCTACCAGGCTGGGACCAGCACTCCTCATCCCCCATTTCTCCACCACACGGTGCTGACCCCCAGCCCCCAGGGCCCTGCTCCTGCTCCAGGACAACTGGATTGGTTCTGGCATTTCCTTGGCTCTTCCCAGGATCCGGTTGACGAGGGGAGGGGCCGGAGCTGGCCTGGAGCCCTCTGTGTATCTAGGATGGGGGGTGGTTCCGGGAGGGGCCCCAGAGCTTCAAAGAACCCCTTTATTGACTTTACAGTCTGCTGGGATGCCTGTGTTTCCGGGAATCTTGTGGGGAAGGACCCTAGAGAGGGCAGAGCTGGTGTGGTACCTCTTACAGGGTTTCCACTCACAGCTGGGCGCCCCGCGACCTGGGGGAACCGAGATTGGGAAGGAGCGCTGCTCCGGCCCTTGCAGGCAACCTCATCATGCACGGCCGGGCAGGAATTCCAGCTCCTTCCACACCCATGCCCCTGATTTCAACTCTTTGTCCCCTTCCACCTGAGCCCCTTACTGGCACAGGCAGGGCCTGGGAACTTCCCACAGAAGGACAGACAGGCCCTGTACAGGGCAGGGAGGAAGGAACAGCCTCCGCCCAGGCCCAGGCTGGGAGAATGACAGGGCCCCAACAGGAAGGGCCACTCTGGTGCCGCCTGAGCCTGGGGCTGTGTGTGGAGGCAACGAGTGCCGGTCAGGTTGGGCGCTCCCCCGCGAGGCCCCCCATGGTCACTCTTATCCTGGGGTTCCCCCACCTGCCCTGAACACGCAGAGAATCAAGGATCCCTGCTGGGGTCCTGGAGTTTCTTAGGGACTGCTGGGGAGGGTTGGGGCCGTGAGAGAGGGTCCCACCGGCAAGGTCTGTCCCGCATCCCCCATTCTCTAGACTAAGCTGTCCTTTTTGCCCCTCTGCCCCACTGTCCCTCTGCGGTCCCTAAGCCCATTGTCGCCCCACAGGTGCCCTGGCTCCACGCAGTGTATGCAGTGCTGGGAGCAGGCGTGTTTACGTTGGTAAGTGTGGCTCCCTGGGGGCGGCCCTCTCAGCCTCTGATCATCTCCCCAGGCCCTCACCGCCTCTGCCTCCTCTCAGTGTCCCTGAACCTGTGAAGCGTCTGGGGCAGGGCAGGGGTTGGTGCTAAGGTCAAGGAAATCTGTCTGGTCCCCAAGACGGACCAGCTGATCTGGGCAGAGGGGGAAGGAAGGTCGTACTAGCAGGACTGAACTTTAGACAGAGCTGCGAAGAGGCACCCCTCACTCAGGGGGAGAGCCAGGGCTCCACATGGGGCTGGAAGAGTGAGGGTGTCCTGGCCACGTGGACGCAGATAGTGGTCACTCTCCTAGGGGTGCTGGGAGGGTGTCTTGGAGCTAAGGAGGTTCCTAAGTACCCTCTGAGAGAGAGGCACTTAGATTGGGCTTGTTCTTGGTTGTTCCCCCAAACTGAGAGTGTGGCTGATGATGACTGCAATTCTGAGCATAATAACAGCTAATGTTTCTTGAGCACTTGCCACCTTCTCCTCCAAAAGCTCTCCGGTTGTGCTTCATCCTCAGCATAATTCTGTAAAATAGGTTCTATTGTTGTCAAATTAAGATGAGGCGCCTTGCCCTGGCCAAGTGGCTCAGTTGATAGGAGTGTCGTCTTGTAAACCAGATGGTGACGGGTTCAATTCCCAGTCAGTGCACATGCCCAGATTGTGGGTTCAATCCCCATTTGGGGTGTGTATAGGAAAGCATCCAATCGATGTTTCTCTCTCATATTGATATTTCTTCTCTCTCTCTCTCTTTCTCTTTCTCTCCCTTCCTCTCTCTCTAAAGGCAATAAAAAGAAATGTCCTTGGGTGAGGATAAAAATTTTTTTTTATAAAATAAGGAACCCAAAGCTCAGCTGTTAAATAACTTGTCCAAGGCCGTCCAGCATTCAGGAAAGTGGTAGGACCAGATTGGGAACTAGATGGTCTGGTTCCAGAGCCCCCCTGGCTAGGTGGGAGGGGAGTGGGTAGCTGGAAGCAGGTGCCCAGGGGACAGAAGGTGACCAGTGGAAGGCATGGGCCTGGAGCAACCCAACACAGACCGTTTTCTCAGATGGGCCCCAAGCATGAATGTGATGGTGCTCCAGGATCCAGGGGGATAAACTCATGTTGGTGACACCTCAGGAATGGGGGGACCCAAGGTAAACATCCACTGCCAGCAGGAGCAATCACCAGACGGCCCTCTTCCTCCTGGGAATGTTCAGCTCAAGTCAGTCTAGCCAGAGTTCTGGGCTTAGTAACAGGCTCCAGAGGCTTGTGGGTGATAGACTGGGGAAGCAGAAATGGGGGAACATAGGAGGTCATATCTCTGAGCCGAGGGTTTGGATTGAGATCAAGCCAGGAATGAGGGTGTGGCCAGTTCGTTCATTCATTCATTTCCACAGGTCTTTATTGCGCACCTACTATGTGTGATGTGTGCCAAGATGCCACATAGTGGCGCTCAGTAAATATTTGTGCAATGAGTAAATGACCTCCAGGCTCAGAACTTGAGGGCTGGAAGGGACTAAAAAGGGATCTAGTGAAATGCCAAGCCCCTCCTTTTACAGATGAGAAAAACAAACCCTTAAAGAAGTTAAATGGTCTGCTGCAGGTTTCCCAGCAAGATGATGACATGTCAACTAAGCGTGGCCTTGGTCAAGACTAGGGTGACCGACTTATCCCAGTTTACCCAGGACTTTCCTGGCTTTAGCACCGCAACTCCCGCTTCTTGGGGGACCTCATTAATCTTGGGCAAACCAGGATGGTCGGTCACCCTATGACATTAATTTTGCTCGCTCCTGGACCAGCGCTCTTCGGGCAGTACATGCTAGGGACAAGTTTAGACTAGGAGGATGGGGCGGGGAATCTGCAAGGAGGAAAGAAAGAGGGAGGGCCACACTAGGAGAGTGAGCCTGCTGGGGTGTCAGAGGGCAGCCAGGGTTTGCCAGGGACAAATGGAAGAAGAGGGGCCAGTGCAGGGCGCAGCGGGAAGAGGGCGAGCGTGATGGGAGGGCTGGGGAGCTCGCTCGGCGCCCTGAGGATCAGGTCGCAACAAGTGGGGAGGCCGTCTGTGCAGGTAGGGTTGGATCAACAGTAATCCACTGAATTTGTTTAATAATCCCTTGTGCTATTAGGATAATAAAAATAATCCCAACCATTTGCTCTACCCTTTACCTTTTAACAAAGTATTTTCACACCTATGACCTCATTGGATTTTCATCTCAACCCAGGGCAGCGCTGATGTTATAAGACCTGATTCCCACCTCGGAAGCCCTGGGTGTCAAAGAGGTGGCACAGAGTCCCCCTGCCGGTCAGGGGCACACTTAGGACGGAGGCCAGGTGTCCTTTGCCCAGGCTGGTGCCATTTCCAGTGCCCCATGGTCGTGCTCAAAGAGGACAGTTCCTATTGTCTTAGAGTTGGGGGAGGCTGAGCGGTCTCCCCAGTAACCGCGCCCCACCGCCTCGCACCACCAGCATTGTCCTCCCTGCTGGGTCGCTCCCATCAGCACAAAAACAAGGCTTCTCTCTCTCTCTCTCTCTCTCTCTCTCTCACACACACACTCACACACACACACACACTGCCTCCTATTCCTCACCCTGCTTTATTTTGTTTGTATCACTTCTCACCCTCTGACATACTAGACATTTTTCTGATTTGTTCGTTTCTTGTTTGTCTCCTTCCAGCAGAGTTTTAATTCCTCGATGGCAGGGACTTCTGTCTGGCTCATCTAGGCGCTGCATCCCCAGTGCCCAGAACAGTGCCCGGCACACAGTAGGCACGCTTTGATGTTGTGGGTGAAGGGGTGCTCAGAGGCGCGGCTGAAGAGCTGTCAGAGCAGGGCAGAGAAAGTGGCTGCGAGGGTGACTTGAGAGCTGCGTCAGTCTCCTGTGAGTCACCAGGGAGGCAGGAACCACAGAGCCTAATTACTCGTGAATGTCTCATTAGGACATCAACACACCCGAAGGTCCCTGGTCGGGCTCATTTTTCAGGTTATGTAAACAATGTTCAGGAACAGGTGATGTGACTCCCCCTGCCTTCAGTTCACTTGGGCCAAAGGAGGGAGGACATACAGCTGGTCCCAGGGGGTAGGGGAGAGTTGAGGGGGAGTCGCTGGACTCATTCCCCTCCCTCCTTTCAATTTCAGGTAGACGGGGGCCCTCAGAGGCCCAGTCCCACAAGATCTAAGGTCCCTTGGTCTTCCCGTGAACCCCCAACCCAGAAGGTCCTCGACTTCCGTCTGACCCTCTGTCTAGCTTCAGTTCTGTCCCGTGGAATCCGTGGTTGCCTAGCTCCAGCCCATCCCACAACCAGCCCCCAGTACCCCTGCGCTCTCCTGCTGCCCATCCTGGCTTCCCCTGCCCTAGCGTGGGGGAGCCTCGGTGCCCCAAGGGGCCCTTCCTGTGCTGCAGCTAGAAGAATTCCAAGATAGCACACGGCACATCCCTGCCATGAGAAGGGGGTGAAGAGAAGTGTCGCAGGAGGCCCTGACCCCCGCTCCCCCACCCCCAACCAGCCTGAGGCTTGGGAGAGCTTTGAGAATCATATGGTTTTCTCTCCTAGAGATTGAAGCCCTTCCCCTGAAAGACTCTGCCATTTCTGAGGGCAAGGCCATGCAGCTGGACTAGGCTGAGACTGGGGGATGGGGAGCCCAGGCTTTTTAGGGTCGTGGTCCAGCCTTGAGGAACAGGCCCCTTCCAGGGGGAAAGTGTGCTCAGAGGCGCCCTCCTCCCAGGCCTCACCTCAGCCTCACTGCCTGAAGTGCCAATTGTCGGGAACCAACGTGCTGTGTGAACCAAGCCCTTGCAACACCCAGACCCAGAGCCCTCCTCTCCCCAGCCCTGGGAGTGGTGGACTGAGGGAGAGGGTGTCTCAGACGCCCTGTGGGAAGTATCTGACCCAGGCAGGGTCAGGAAGGGAGGGGAGGAGTCTCTGCTCTCATATTCAGGATCGGGGTTCTCCAGAGCAGAGCTGGGGGCCGCACTGTCAGAAGGGCCAGGGGAGCCTGCAGAGCAGGAGGGAGCTCTCTGGGTGGCCACGTACATCTCACCTGAACCACATTCAAGGCTTAGCTCATCTTCTTACCGCTGTGACCTTGGGCAAGTTACTTAACCACTCTGTGCCTCAGTTGCCTCATCTTTAACACGGGGCTGATATTAACTTTTTCACAATACTGTACATAAGCATTGTGAGTTGCTGTCACAACATTACATAAGATAATATGTAAAAAGAAAAAAGGAGACAGCCTAGCACCCAAACGTGGCAGTTTCTCAGCTGCTGCAGTAGCTTGTACCCTTATTATAAATGTGAGCTTTGCAATTCAGCACTGGATTTTGGAGCTAGCGTACCTGGGCTCAGATCCATTCTCTGCCACATTTTAGCTATGTGAGCTGATCCAATCATGTAACTTCTGTGTGCTTCCATTTTTTTTAATCTGTAAAATGAAGATAGTGATAGCACCGACCTCATAGGTCATTGTAAATTTAAAATGAATTAATATATGCAAAGCACTTAGAAAGTGCCTGGCATGTCATCAGTGACCAATAAGTGTTACCTGTTAGTAGTAGTGAGTTGCCTAAGGTCAGAGGCAAGATTTGAACCCCGGTCTGTGTGACTCCCTGGTCTGCGTATACTCGTGCCTTTCTTCGCAGGACCCCCCCACAGGCTCTCCGACGTACTTTGCACACTGCTCCCCTTTTATCTTGGGCCAGGCTTTCTGGCTCGCATGCCTGTCATACCCTGTTCCCTCAGTGGCCACTCTGGAGACGCATGCCAGAACCCAGTGCAGTTGTTTGTGCCATTTAAACTTTTGACACCCAGGTCAGTGAAGACAAGAGAAATATGTTCCATTGGCCTCAGGCCACTACAGGACTCCAGGTCTCCACTTAGCACCTCTCCTCCCTCACCCCGACCAGGCTTAAGCCTGGTCGCTTCTTTCTAAAGAATCCCCAAAGCCCAGGCTCACTCTCCAGCTCAGGAAGTGGCGGCAGGAGCGCCTGCATCCCCAAGGAAGCCTGCAGTGCTCTGGGCTATGAGCTCTGTTTACACAGCTCTTCCCACCTCTTCTATCCTTGCACACCCACATGCGTGTATGCATGCACTGTGCCCTGAGCCAGTGTCACATGGTGGGAAGAGAGTGAGCTGTGGGGTCAGAAGACAGGCTGTCCTCTCGGCTGTGTGAAGTGGGCAAATCACTTATACTGTCTGTGCCTCAGGCTCCTCAGCTACTTGACAAACATGGTAATGCAACACCGGTCACAGAGGCTTATAGTGGGAGTTCCCAAACTCTTCTTTTTTGTGTAACTTTAACCTTTTCTTTTTTTATTCTTGCCGGAGGACATGCTTATTGATTTTAGAGAGAAAGGAAGGGAGGGAGGGAGAAAGAGAGGGAGAGAAACGTTGATGTGAGAAAGGAACATTGATCGGCTGCCTCTCGTATGCACCCCGACCGGGGACCAAGCCATAACCTAGGCGTGTGCCCTGACCTGCTGCAATCGAACCCACAGCCCTTCGGGTCACGGGAGGACACTCCAACTGAGTCACACTGGCCAGGGCTAACTTTTTACTTTTTATCTTCTAATTACATAATACATGAATACATGTATTCACATATTTCATTTTTTTAATCGTAAATAATATAGGTAAAGCAAAACATTCTTTTAACCATCTCCCTCACTGCCTTCCCCAGGGGTAACCACGGTGGTCAATATCCTTCCAGACCTTTCTATATGAGTTTTATAGATATTTGTTATATCAGCTCCTATGAGATTTGTCTATTAACATAAAAGGGAATCATCTGATATGGATTTTTTTGAACTTGCATTTTTCTTATAACAGCGTGCCAGAGGCGTTTCTGCCTCAGAACTGCTACCCACAGTTTATCTCACCCGGCCCCCGTTGACAGAGTTCAGGGTTGTCTTCGGTGTTTCACTGTGAGGCCCGCTGCCGCAGTGGGCAGCCTCGGGCGTGCCGCTTTGCGTGCTCCTGCTGGCATTTCTGTAGGATGGACACGGTCCACGTGTTATTTATTTTTTTTTTCATGCTGATTCAACACATTGCAAGCGCAGCTTTTTGTATTCACTGCCTGCGTGTTGGTAGCTCTGAGCTGGCCTTTCCCTGGCATGGCTCCCGCCCAGCCTCAGCTCTGGGAGAACAGCCGACCTAAGCCTAAGTCCCGGAGGCAGTGGGGTCAGCCCGAGCACGTATCAAGACCCTGGTCCAACACTAGCCTGCAGGGCGAACCAGGAAAGCTTGCTTTGGCTCCTCTGCCTGTGTGCCTGTCCCCTCCATCCCTGCAGTCTCTCCCTCCCTCCCACTCTATCCTCATCTCCATCAGAATGAGACAGGTAATCTGGTTCCTGCACTAGATAAAGGACTATCAGCAAGTGAGTCACCTGCTTTGAGACTCCTTTCCTCATATATAAAATAGTGACAATAACATCTACCTCCCAAAAGCACATTGGGTGAGTGAGATGAGATAAAAGAATAGTGTGTGCAAGGGCTTTTCAGACATCAGTTAATAGCATCACAGCCCCACACCTGCCTCTGTCCCTATCCCATGTGCCACTCCTGCAGGATCTCCTCTTCAGCTGGCTACCAACTCAAGTACCTGCTATCCTTTTAGGTGTTAGTGGTCAACCCAGTTTTTAGCTGTCAGCTGACATCTTAGCCGCCAATTAAGATGTTAAGTGTAACCGGAATATGTGCTCTCCACCAAGGTGTTAGCTAGCAATGCTCACCGTCACCCGGGGGGATTATTAGTAGGTAACTTTCCCCTGTAATGAATGGTTGCTCGTAATGGAATCTCGGATGACGTCTTTTGCTCTCATTAGGCTATTAGGCTGTTAGTCCTCTGAAGGCAAGTTCCCTAGGATGTAGTTGATACTCAATAAATATTGCTGGGAATAAATGCACGAAAAGCCTTCTGTTGACTCACAGACATGAGGTTGCAGTGCAGTGATTGGTGGTACCAGGCAGTGGGATTGAATTTGGGGCAGGCTCTCCCAGAGAACACCACACAGATAAGCATCCGTGGCCATTGGCCAAGGGCAGGAGCAACCATTTCATTTGTCTTTCCTCCAAGAGAAGAGCCAGCTGGCCGCTCTAAGAGGTCTCCTGGGTAAGTGCTCCTTGGAGGAGCCACCCCCAAACCTGGTCAGGTCCCAGCCTTCTAAGTTGAGAGATTTATTTTCATTAGCTCCCCCGGGGGTGGCCAGGCTCTGGGCAATCAACCAAGCAAGCTACTGATTGATAAACCAGATCAGCAATTTATTAACTTCTGCTGGCAGCGGTGACTGCTCAGCAGCCTGTGGCATTGGAGTTGGCCCCTCTCCTTGCTTGTTCTCTCTACAGAGGAAAATTTATTTCAGAATCCAAATCAAATTCAGAAGGAGCATGGAATGGAGTGAGATGATGCTAAAGAATAATAATAGTTGATGTCACACACACTGTTGTGTTTTTACCCTCAAGACCACACCGTGGTTGCATGACTACTGTCCCAGTTTGTAGATGAGGACACCGAGGCCAAGTGGGCAGCGGCCGCTGAGGGATGAAACCAGCACTCAAACCCAGGAGCTCCAGCTCCAGCCCTTTCTCAGTGCCCCTGAGCTCAGAGAGGCTGACATCCCTGCACAGGGCCCCCCAGCTCTGGCTATGACCCCCCATTTCCCTTCTTTTGAGACCGCACAACTTCCCTTCGTAACATTTCTGCCTCCTCGACGAGCCGCGAGAGACACTGGAGGCTCAGCAGCAGCGTACACTTGTTCTCAAGAGGGCACCGCTCCTTCTGCAGATAAGAACAATAAAACCACATTCATAGCTACCATTCATTAAGTGTTTACCATGTGTCAGGCACCATGCCAGGCGCTTTGCATGCATTATCTCCCTGCCACAACCACCTCAGGAGGAAAGTATTCATCTCCCTTTTACCGATGTAGACTCACAAGCTCAGAGTCTAAATGCTTTGCCCCGGGTCCCGTCACTAGTGAGTTGCAGAGCTAAAACTGGAATCCAGTCAGTCTGACTTTGAGGCCCACGTTCATAATCTACTCCCAGCTCCCCACCTTTGAGGCTGCTGTGTGCCTCGATGTCCCACTTGCTGGAGTTGCTCCCTGTTGGAGTCTCTGCCCCCTGGGTGCTGGGGGCTTTGGCACTGAAGCAGGGAGCCTCACAGGCTTCCACAGGGCTGCACCAAAAGCAACTCTAAAGAGCCTGGGTCCTAAAGTCAGGGAGCCAGGGCCTGGGGTGAAGGAAAGGGATCTGGACCCTAACTTTGAGGGTGCAGAGCGAGCCTCCGTCCCCTCCCCCCGCCCCCGCCACGCTGAACGCCTCGCCCGTCACACCGTGCCTTCCCAGTCTCACAAACCCCCACTCATCCTTCAAAGCCCAGGTAAGGTGTCACCTCTCCTGGGACACCTTTCTCCTACCCAATCAGCCCTAATTATGACATTTACTGGGTTTTATTGCAGTCATCTCACTTATCAGCGAGTCCCCAAGGGCAGGCGTTTGTGTTCCCCTTTGTTTCTGCAGCTCTGTCAGTCGCTGGCACCAGCCCTTGCCCTGTGCATATTTATCGTATAATGAATGTTTCAGAGGCCCAAGGACTACAGGTCCACAAACGAGTGACGGAAGAGCCAGGCACAGCCCAGTTAACAAGAATGTGAATCAATTTAAAGAATTCCAATCCCATGTGGGTCAGTGGTTCATAACCTTTGAGACACTGGTGGAATTTTCTGGCTTCTTTCCCCCAGAAAAGTATGCCGTGCCTGTCAAATTCCGTATGCTACTTCTTGGGGGGTTCTGTTCCACATGCTGGGACCCCAGAGAAAAGCTCTGTGGAGGAGTCACTGTAGACAATGGGAAGGACTGGTAGGGGGCAGCAGGGTGGCAGAGAGGAGCTGTCTCTAAGGGAGTAACTGTGCAGAGTCCAGGAAACCAAGAAGGCGCCCTGGGGAGAGCCTGTTTCCTGGCAGAGGCACAAACCCCGGGTGCTGTCTGTCAGCGGCAGAGCAGGATGGTTAAACACGGGGGGCTCAGGAGCAGGCCCTGGGTCAAATCCTGGCTTTGCCATTTCCCTTTTGTGTAACTTTAGGTACATACTTAACATCTCTGGGCTGTGGTTTACTCTGGGAATAACAGAACCCCTACTAAGTAGGGATATTATTAGGACTAAGCAGGCTAATGTCTATAAAGCACCTAATAAATGTCCATTCCCTGCCTGCTATTACTTGAAGCATTTGTTTATTTTCTAACTGGGAGCAGGTCCTGAGGGAATGACAAGAAAACTAGGACTCAGTTTGACGGTCCCTTAAGGTCCCCTCCTCCAGGAAGCCTTCCCTAACTCCCTGCCGCACTCACACAGGGTCAGGTTCCTTGTGATCAGAACCCTGTACCTTGGTTGCACTCATACTAACAATTACTTCCCACTGGACTTGAAGCTCTGTGAGGTAAGGGATCTTATCTGTTTTGTTCTTTGCTGTATCCCTGTGTCTTGCACATAGTAGGTGCTCAGTTAATAGGTGTCAAATTAGGGACAGAAAGTGCTGGGAAAGTTCCAGATTCCGGGCAGTCACAGAAGGGTCCCTGAGCAGCCAGGCAGCAGGCAATGGCAACAAAATCAGGGCTGGGCCTGGTGGGGGGACACTGGGCCCCCTTGATCAGTGTCACAGTGACTGAACCTTCTGATTTCTCCTGTCTCTTCCCTTCCTCAGTTCCTGGCGTTTGACACTCAGTTGCTGATGGGAAACCGACGGCACTCACTGAGCCCCGAGGAGTATATTTTTGGAGCCCTCAGCATTTACCTAGACATCATCTACATCTTCACCTTCTTCCTGCAGCTTTTCGGCACCAACCGGGAATGAGGAGCCCTTCCTGCCGCCCTTTCCTTCAGCGAATGCTCCCTTGCTGGTCCTCTGACCCTGCCTTGCTCCTGTAAGCCCAGATATAAACTAGCCGCCAGCCCAGCCTGTGGCCAGCCCGCTCACTCCCTCAGCCGTCCCTCATCCTCACCCTCTGTAGCTTGTACCCGTGCCATCAGGGGCCCTGTGGAACTGAGGTCACGCCATGCCCTGTGCCACCCCTTCCCCCCAGTCACACCTCCCAAACTGGGACAGTCAAGGCTAGAGGGTCCTTTGGGTTTGAGGACCCAAGGTATGAGTGGGAGGAGATCAGCAGGATTTTTCGTGTGGGGAAGAGACCCCGGGAAGCCTGGCTGAGGCCTGGACCCCCCTCAAGATTCCTCCTAAGGCTGCCACAGCTGTGTGGCCCTGGGGCACACTGTCCTGTGTCCAGTGCCCCCTCCTCTCGTTCCTTGTAGGTCAAGCTTTGTACGGAATGGGGCTGGAGACGGCTGGGAAATGAGCGAGGGTGCTCTGCAGGGTGGCTGTCCCATGCTGGCCATCTCTCAGCTCTGGGACTAATGGCTTGTTTTAGGGACTGGAGCCCTGGTGCCAGGAACACCTAGAGAGACGTAGGAAGGCAGTGCCATCTACCCTCCTGGGTCATGACAGAGCACTGTTGAGGCAGGAGGGCTCCCAAGCAGGGGCCTGCCCTGGGGCTCCGAGGGAGTGAGCACAGGGCAGCCAACTGGGAGGCCTGGGCTCCGCAGCACCACCAGTTCTCCCCGACCTGCAGCCACCTGCTAGGCCTGTGGGGTTGGCGGGACGGAGCCTATTCCTCTCACCCTCTTCTTTAGCCCCACAGGATACTCCCACAGCCTGAGGCTGAGCGCCAGTGCCCTAGGCCTGGATGTTCTGGGGGGGGAGCGTTACTCTAACTGAGCCAGCCCCATCTGGAGGGAATCCTACCCTGCCCCCAACCCTGCCCCGACCCTGCCCCAAGGCCTTTCTGCACATCTTATTTCTTAAACCCTTCCCCATCTATTGCCATTTGCTGGCTTATCCCTAGCCAGGCCTCCTGAGGCCTCAGTTGGCTGTGCCTGTGTCCCTTTCCCTAGCTTCTCTGGCCACTCAGCACGCGGAGTCCCTAAGCCCCCTCCATTCCTTATCTCCTCATCTCTCTAATTTGGAAGCTATCCAGCCAGAGCCAGTCCCTTCAGCTGGCCCCATGTGATGAGGCCAGGTCTCCTTATCAGCCTCTAGGCGGCTGAGATCTCAGGCAGGGGGCCACGCCTGGGGGAAGCGTGCAGCCAGTGCAGCCAGCACGTGCTAGCAGCCAACTCCCAGCCAGTGGAAAGTTACTGGGTGGGGTCAGGGAGGTTCAGAGTATATTCCTCTCTGTCCGGATACCTCTCTTACTCCTGTGTTGGGGGACCTGTTTACTTGGGGGGATGGTGACTAGGTATGCTGTCTGTGTTCCCAACCCCTCCCTTCCCAACCTTCCTGTTTTCATCTTTCAAGAAATATTGCACACACTCTGTCCTGGGAGCTCAGTTGGTTAGAGTGTTGTCCCAATACACCAGGGTTGCAGGTTTGATCCCCAGTCAGGGCACATACAAGAATCAACCAATGAATGCATAAATAAGTGGAACAACAAATCAATGTTTCTCTTTGACTCTCTGTCTCTCTCTCTCTTCCTTCTTCTTTCTCTCAAATAAATAAAATTTTAAAAAAAGATATTGCTAAAGGACTTAAAGTTTGGTTTCATCTTGGGTATTTGGAGAGATGAACCAAGAAGTGACAGTAGTGTTTGCATGTAAGATAAAGGCAATTGTGAGCAAGGGAGAGATGCCTACTGTGTGTTGTCCTAAATTAACCCATTTCAACAATCCTACAAAGGTGGTGCTCACACACCCCTTGGCAGAGGTGGTCAACGGGCTTGGTAATGAGCCCAAGGCAGCATAGCTAACAGACCAGGTGGGGCTGGAATGAGGCTGCATGGAGGTCAGGCCCTGGCATCACCAGCGATTTGTTGTCCTTGGTGCCAGCCCTGGCCCCTTGCATCCCCCCTCCCACTACCCGTTTTGCACTCCACGGTTTCCACCCTCTGGATACAAGCTGGGAGGCCGGGTCCTTGGGTCTGATTCCCAGCCTCACTGGCTCATGGTATTAGACAGGTGTTTCTGGCTGTCTGTGATTCACTTTTGCTATTAGCAAGAAGGAAGACCCTGGCCAGAATGACACAGGAGAGACACCAGGACGCTTAATTCCACTAACTCCCTTACCCAGTTGCCCCTTCGGCTCCTCTCCTAATCTTTTGGCCCAGTTCTGAGAGGTCAGAACTGCCCCCTCTGCCCTGCCACTCTCAGCCTAGGCCTTGGTCTTGCTTCTCAGAATCCCGCCCTCAAGTCCTCCTCTTCCTAGGACAGTTTATGCAGAAGCTGGGACTTGAGAAGTGCATCTGAGGCCCGAGCTCCAAAAACTGGGAGGAGGTGGGGGCGGAGTTGGAGAGAGGAGGAGGCAAGTCCTTGGCAATAGACAGCATGAAGGGCCAACTCCGGGCCCTCAAGAAGCAGAGCCCGCTGGGGAGTGTCCCACTCTGGGCGCTGAGACGGCCCCAGGGCACGGTGATCTGGCAGCAGAGCCAGGGCTGAGGCCCCAGCATTCCGCTTGCATCCAAGCCCTGAGGAGCCCCAGGAACACCTGCATGGGTCTTGGAAGGAGGAAGGGCAGGGGAACAGGAATGCAAGATTATGAGAAACCTGAGAAACCTAAAATCGGCAGGTGTCACAAGCTGCAGAGGAGGAGCGGACCTGCTGGCCCCTCACATTTCTGGCAGGGATGGGACTGGGCCCAGGAAGAGGTAGGTTGGATTTCATAAAGCTAGAGGCAGCCAGGAATCCGACCATCTGTGATGTGAAGTCAGAGGTCTCCTGCGGAGGGGGGACGCAGACCAAGAGATGGATCCTCTCCCAGAGATTGCAGATTGGGAACCAGGGAGGCTCATGCAAGTCCCTTGACTGTTGCTCGCCTCCTTCTGTACACCGCCTGGGGAAGGCCCAGGGATCTTGGTTCTTCTATCTTCTGCTTACTATTCCTCCCAGGGGAGCCTGGATCAGACCGATACCCTTACTCCGAAAGGCTCCGCCTCTCCCTTCCGGGCCCACCTGGAACAAGTCTCCAGACTGTCAGCTCTCCCTCTGGGCTGGGATTTCACACCAGCACTTTGCTGCCTCCTGGTGGCTCCCTGAGGAAAAGCAGGGCCTGGTGCTGCCGCGGAGAGGCAGAGGGCCCTAGGGCAGGAATTGGGCGCAGGCTTCCATTGCTGGCTTCTTTTCCGACATCTCCAGGCCTCTCATCAGCCTCCACCTTTCCCCTTAGACCAACAATTGTTGCATCTCTCGGACCCTGTTTACCTGTCTGCTGTAAACCATTTGTGCGCCACTCCATCCTGGAGCTTCCTCATGGTGTCTGAGGACAGAGACACATCCTTAGACACAAGTGTTGTCCTTCCTGGGCTACACCTTCCCTGCCAGTGACTGACAGGAGATAAGAATAAAAGTAATTATGACACCTGAGCTGTTTCCTTTGCTTGCCTTTTGCATGGCTTCAGATGGCTCAGGGAGTCTGTGTGTGAGGTTTAACTGGATTCAGGGTAAAAGATTCACACCAGACCTGCTTCTCCCAGTGTAGTTAAGCATGAATTAACTCTCCACACTTGTGTGGAAAAGGGACACTGGTCCTCCTTTGCAGAGGCTCTTGGGACCCCAGAGTTGGAAGGAACCCCAGAGAGCTAGCACCTATCACAGTTGTACTAGAGGCTCCTCCTGTTGGGGCACCTTCCAGGGGAGCCTGCTCCTTTGTACACAGTTCCTTAGAAGATTATTATTTTGACCCAAAATTTGTTCCTCTAGAAGGAAAGACTTGTTGTACCTGGAAGTTTCCCCCAAGAGTTCAGAATTTCTCTGTCCAGTGTCTGCTGTGGGAGTCTCATTTCCTCCCCTTTGAACCAGGCCTCTATTGTCATCCTATGCCTGTCCTGCCAGTGTGTGTGTGTGTGTGTGTGTGTGTGTGTAGGGGAGTAGAAGTAAATAACTTGTCTTTTTAGTTCTGAAGTCTTCAGATTGAGAACAGCCAAGGAACCAAACCTGAAGAATCTCAAATGCACAGACTTGGTTTAGATGTAATCCTGGACCTCAAGTCTGAGCCTGATGTTGTAAAGGAATGAGACTTTTGGGGCTCTTGGGCAGGGGTTGAATAGATTTTGCATGTGTCCAGAGTGTAGAATGAAGCAGTTTAAAACGATGGCCACAAGTTCCTTGACTAATGGAATGCGATTAAAGTGCTATTGTGTGAGTTCCGAGAGTTCTCTGGCGCTGGAATTCCAGCAGAATTCCTGGTTGACCCTGACTGATTCTTCCTGGCCCAGAAGCTCTCTGCTGGGCGAACCACTATGGTACTGGGGTGAGAGGCATTGACTGACTGGACCTAGGTCATATATTCACTCTGGAGCCACATCCATTGATGAGAATGAGGGAAGTGAGGGATATTTCTCCAGAGGAAAATCAGAGTATGGTTCCCAGAAGAAAGTTGAATGTCAAGCAGGCAAAAAACAACACATGTCCACCACTGCAAGACAGAGACCCTGTCCTCAAGAAACTCAGCAGAGTGCTATGGAGATGACAGGAAAGAAACTATAATGTGATGAATGCTATGTTAGTATAGATAGTTGGGGAGCTAGAAAAGGCTTCTCAGAGGCCTTTGAGCCGGGTCTTAAAGGATGAGCAAATTTTAGTCACAAAGACAAGGGAGAAGAGGAGGGCCTTTCAGACAAAGGAAAGAGCCTGAACAAAGACCTGGTGGCATGGGATGTTATAATATGTAAAGAGATGGCAAGTTGTCTGGTGCAGCTGGAACACAGAGAGATGGAACGAACTAGATTCTGTAGGCAGTGAGAACACTGAAGATGATTAAGTAGCGGAGTGACAAGATTAGATCTGTGTTTGGGAAACAACTGTGGAAGATAATTTGGCAATAGTATCAAGTTACTTTTAGAAGCAGACACCCTTTGGCCCAGAATAGATACTAGATACTTATCCTGTGAATGAATACTAGATACTTATGCTGAGTGAATAACTGGACAAATGCCAAAAGAATACAAGGATAGCCATTGAAGTATTATTCATAAGAGTGAAATTTTAGAAATGTAAGTGTTAATATTTATAAACAAATATAAATATTAAACAATTAGGGACTATTTAACAAACTGTGATAATACTTATTCTATGACATACTAAGCAGTCATTAAAAATGATGATATGGGTAAATATTTATACATAATCACAATATTGCATAATATTAAATCAAAAAGCAAATTCCAAAGTATTATGTAGAGTATAATCATATTTTTAAATTTTTAAAAAGTATTTTGTGGTTCTTCTTTAAGTAAAATGCTAACTAATGAATATAAAAATAATAATAGAATTAAAAAATTAAACTTTTGAGGCTCTTGGCACAAATCTGGCACATCATGTATCCTTTCCTGAATTTTAATTTAATTTCTTTGTCTTCTGTATAAAACTACACATTGTTGAGAACCTATTCCTTCTTTATAAAACAAGCATTCATTCATTTAGGAGGAATTAATTTAGCTTCCAGCACAGTTCCAGATGCTGGGGATACAAAGAAGAGACATGGTCACTTCCTTCAACAAGTTCATAGTAAGTCAAAAACTGCAATATTGTATGAAAAGGGAGTAATAGAGGCGCATCTAGGTAGAGAGAGGGAAATATTCACTCTTTCTGAGGGACAATGGGTGGTAATGTCTTCACAAAAGAGGACACATGCACTGGGTTTCAAGAGAGAAGTTGTGAGCGAGGGGAGGGAAGGTAGATTCAGGCACAGGAAACAGCATGTGCAAGGGTATGGAGCTCCCCCTACCCTGGTATATTCAGGGGGCTGTGAGTGGCTCAGCATAGCTGGAATAGAGATGTTGGGATGAGATGGGGCGGGGGCAGAGGAGGCGAAGCTGAAGAAACAGACAAGCAATCAGTTTTAAGGAACTGTGTGGACCATCTTAGGCGCTTAAGGCACATTCCATGGGCCAGGAGGCTTGGCATCTCCTGAGAGCTTGTCAGAAATGCTGACTCCTGGCTCACCCCAGACCTTCTGAATCAGAATCTGCATTTTAAGAAGAGGTTCAGGTGATTGATTTGCATTTAGGAAGCTCTGATTTAAATACTTTGGACTTTATTTTACAGGCTCAGGGAAGCTTGACGCAGATTCGTCCTCCCTTGGCATCCTTAGCTGGAGATGGTTCTTCATCTCTTCTTTCCAGTCCACGCCTTCCCAGTTTCATTAGCAGCAACTCGGCCTCCCAGGAACCCCAAAGCACTCCAGTCCTCGGCCCGCTGCTTCCCTCCATAGATCTTGCCTCAGTCACATTGTCCTGAATACATTTTACAAAATGGTTCAATTCAGGAAGTCCCTTGGTTTTGAACAATGATAGATGAAAATGTAAGGCTCTATGATTCTATGAAAGAAAATTGTACAGCAAGGTGACCTGGTGGAACTCATCATGCCTAACCAGTGGTACATGCTGAAAACATCAGTCAGCTCAAAATAACATTTAGAAAAATTCACGGATGCTAAGTCCACAGCAAAATCAGAAGGGAAGCTGAAGATGCTTGCAGACGTTGGCTTTTAACCCTTTATTTA